GGGGGAGGTGGTGGAGTGGTGCAGGGTGGGGTGCAGGCACAAGTGAAATCCACTGAGTACTTTTCCACCCACTCCAACCTGTCTAATATTTTACACAGCACAGAGCAAATATCAGACAACAGCACACCTCACCCTTCCATGCTTGGGCCTACTGAAACATTCAAGTTGAACTACAGATAGCCTATTAGGGCCACATGCCCCCACAATCCACCCACATTTTACCCACACTAGGGTGAAGTGCACATTGTGTAGGAAACCTGGCAGTTCCTGCTGCCCAGGCTGGTATCGGGCAAATGGGAGGAACCTTCTTTGTAAATCCACAGCATCATCAGAGACAACCGCTGGGCGGCACGGTGGCTCAGTGGTTAGCACTGCTGCCTCACAGCACCAAGACCCTGGTTTGATTCCAGCTTTGGGTAACTGTGTGAAGTTTGCACATTCTCCCCGCGTCTGTGTTGGTTTCCTCCAGGTGCTCTGGTTTCCTCCCGCAGTCCAAAGATGTGCAGGTTGGGGTGGATTGGTCATGTTAAATTGCCCCATCATGTCCAGGGATGTGCAGGATGGGTGGATTAGCCATGGGAAGTGCAGGTTTGCAGAGATAGGGTGGAGGAGCTGGATCTGGGTGAGATGCTCCTCAAAGTGTTGGTGCACACTCAATAGGCTGAATGGCCTCTTTTCGTGGGGATTCTATGATTTGAACTTCACTCCAGGATGTACTTCCTCTGTTATCCATCACCCAGCCTCTCCAATGCTTTAATATTACTCTGGAAGCATTACTACACATTCAGGTTTAAGTAACATTCCTGAACCAGATCAGATGTGAAGGGGTGAATGGCCTACTCACACCCCCTAATTCACATGTTTGCTTGCTCATACATTTGTTTTTTTTTTAAAATGTGCTTTTAAAAAAAGAATTGTGTACAGACCTTTTCTCCCTTTGGACCTGGAGGCCCAGTTCGTCCTGGTATACCGGACTCCCCCTGTGACAAGAAACCAATATTTTAACATCAACAGTGATCATATCCTCTTGCAGTCTGGAACACAGGCCCCGTACAGATTGGGTACTAGTCAATTAAAAAACTCTCCTTTTACAAACTCAAGGCATTCCAAAAATTTACCCACAGCCAATTCACAAAACGATATCAGAATGTGCTGGAAAAACTCATCAGGTCTGGCAGCTTCTGTGGGGAGAAAGCAGAGTTAACATTTCGACGTTTCGGGACCTGAAACGTTAACTCTGATTTCTCTCCAAAGAGGATGCCAGACCTGCTGAGTTTTGCCAGCTATTTCTGATTTCCAGCATCTGTAGCTCTTTGTTTTTATTTGTTAAGTATCTTCGTGAAATGAGTTACTGTAAGAAATGCTCTTGCCGGTTTATACACAGCAAGCTCCCACGAAAGTAAGGTGATGATGACTGGGTTTTTAATGCTGTTTGCTGCGAGACTGGGAAAAACTCCCATGTTCATCCTATAATTGTACAGTGAGGCGTGTTACGTAGAGTCTGATGGGTGTATTCCAGCTCACTCAGAGAGTTCAAGTTGCTGTAGTAACACGCACATTTCAATCAGGAGCTCTAGATCCAATTTCCTGTCCACTGCACGGCTGACCAGGAAACCCACTTATTCTTACCACCTGTACTGTTGTGTGACTGTGGATTTATAGATTGACAGTCAACCTGTTTTGGCCACAATGTGAACACACCTAGCTCAAAGGTGCAGACACTACCCATTTTGCCACAGACCTCCTCCATGAGCACAAAGGTCAACAGAGATTGGGTGCTGAGGAGCTGAAGTTCCACTTTTGGGGGAAGATGGGAGACAGTCTGCTTTTCTGTCATGAAAGGTCCTAGGGTTAAAGGTGGCCCATTCTAAACCGGTTTCGGAGAATTGTGTTACTCTCTCAGTGGGGCTGGTCTTTTTCTGGACATGGGTTGTCTCTGAAAAACTAGAAACTGGCTCAGGAGTGAAGGAAAAAGCTCAGGCACATCCCACATTGGTTGGCAGGAAATCAAACCAGGGGCTATAGAGCTCAATGCCATTTGAAGCAGTTCATTTACTCACAGAGATGAGGGGGTAACTCCACACTGAAAGCTTAAAGAACAGGGGGCTCAGTGGTTAGCACTGCTGCCTCACGGCACCAGGGGCCCAGATTCAATTCCAGCCCTCGGGTGATTGTGTGGAGTTTGCACATTCTCCCCGTGTCTGCGTGGGTTTCCTCCGGGTGCTCCAGCTTCCTCCCACAGTCCAAAGATGTGCAGGTTCGGTGGATTGGCCGTGCTAAATTGCCCTGTGGTGTCTAGGGATGTATAGGTTGGGTGCGTTGGCCATGGGGAATACAGGGTGGCAGGGATAGGGGAATGCGGTGGGTCTGGGTGGGATGCGCTTTGCGAGGGTCGGTGCAGACTCAACGGACTGAAAGGCCTGTTTCCACACTGTAGAGGATCTACGATTCTATGTTAGATTATTAAATGGACTGCCATAACTTGAAGAGAATCCATGCGAGAAAATTCTATTGATCGACGTAAACTTGAAGCCAGGCAGGATCACAGAGTCATAGAATCATAGAATCCCTACAGTGTGGAAGCAGGACCTGTGGCCAAACAAGTCCACAACGACTCTCAGAGCATCCCACCCAGACCCATCACCCTATACCCACCTAATCTACTGCTGTTATAGCGTATACTTACCCTCTCTCCTCTCAATCCTGGGGTACCTTGGCTCCCCTACAAAAAAATTGAAAAAAGTCACAACATGAACTAAGAAAACCCTTCAATGAAAAAATGTTTAACTGAGTAAGATACAAATGAAAACTACAGCGTTGTCATGACGATGTGATACAACTTACTGGCTCTTGATCTGCTTCATCTGCAGAGATACAGTCCCTAATTTTCATTGCTTCTTCCCAGATACAAACACCCAAAATACGTGATTTCTTTTAACTGTCGAACCTGGGAGAAATGCATTTCTTGCTGGCCCTTGAGAAACTAAGTAAGGAAGAAATTTCGGGAGATTTGTCTAGTGCCTTTCACAATCTTTAGAAGGTTCCAAAGAACTTAACAGCCAATCAAATATTTTCTTCAAGAGTAATCAACATTGCAATGCAAGAGATTTGCATTTTGCACAGCAAGATCCAAAATCCAGAGCAGTTTCCCAGCCTCGAGAGCGTCAAGGTAAAACCCAGCGCGGACTGACTGGAGGCAAAGCCCAGCGCGGACTGGAGGCTAGGCCCAGCGCGGACTGGAGGCTAGGCCCAGCACGGACTGGAGGCTAGGCCCAGCGCGGACTGGAGGCTAGGCCCAGCGCAGACTGGAGTCTAGTCCCAGCGCGGACTGGAGGCTAGGCCCAGCACGGATTGGAGGCTAGGCCCAGCACGGACTGGAGGCAAGGCCCAGCGCGGACTGGAGTCTAGTCCGAGCGCGGACTGGAGGCTAGGCCCAGCGCGGACTGGAGGCTAGGCCCAGCACGGACTGGAGGCAAGGCCCAGCGCGGACTGGAGTCTAGGCCTGACACGGACTGGAGGTTAGGCCCAACACGAACTGGAGGCTAGGCCTGACACGGACTGGAGGCTAGGCCTGACACGGTCTGGAGGCTAGGCCCAACACGGACTGGAGGCCAGGCCCAGCATGGACTGGAGGTTAGGCCCAGCATGGACTGGAGGTTAGGCCCAGCACAGACTGGAGGTTAGGCCCAACATGGACTGGAGGCTAGGCTCAGCATGGACTGGAGGCTAGGCCCAACACGGACCGGAGGCTAGGCCCGACAAGGACCGGAGGCAAAGCCCAGCACGGACTGGAAGCTGGGCCAGCACAGACTGGAGGGTAGGCCCAGCACGGATCAGAGGCTAGGCCCGGCATGCACCGGAGGCTAGGCCCAGCGCAGAATGGAGGCTAGGCCCAGTGTGGACTGGAGGCTAGGACCAGCACAAACTGGAGGCTAGGCCCAGCACGGACTGGAGGCTAGGCCCAGCATGGTTGGAGGCTAGGCCCGACACAGACTGGAGGCTAGGCCCAGCATGGACTGGAGGCTAGGCCCAGCATGGTTGGAGGCTAGGGCCAACACGGACTGGAAATAGGCCCAACGCAGACTGGAGGCTCAGCCCAACATGGACTGGAGGCTAGGTGCCAATGTGGCCTGGGTTGGAAAGACTGTTATTCTGAAACTTTTATTTCTTTATTTTTCTAATTTATTCCTATGTTTTTGTAGTTTGTACCTAAGATGGCACAAAGGTCTGTAATGCTGCATTTTCTATTTCTCCATTTTTCTAATTTTTTCCTAAGAATTTTTACTGAAGAATCTGAACCTAGGTACCTAAGATGGTGCTGTAAGTGACGACTTGTAAACTTTTCACTGTACTCATGTCAGTACGTGACAATAATCCAAATTCTAATTCTAATCTAGCAAACCAAATTGAGATAGCTGACCACATCAACCATTTAATGATGTTGGTTTAAAGATAAATATTGATCATGTTCACTGGAGAGAATTCTTCTGCTCCTTTGCAAATGGAATCTCGCACATTTCAAGGTTAGGGAACAGCCCTGAGATAAGTTGTCTGACTTGTTTTACATTTATTTGCAGGATGAGATCACTATTGGCAAAGCCATTATTTCTTGCCCATTCCCATTTGGTGAGCCGCCCTTTTGATTACAACTGAGAGGCTTTCTGGGCCTTTTTTAGAAGGCAGGTATGGGACTGGAGTCACGTGTAGGCCCAGACAGGGTCAGGAAAGCAGCTTTCCTCATGAATCAGTTGGATTTTTTTTAATGACAGACATTAACGTGAATGTAAACACCAAGCCCCTCCCCACCCCCACTTTCCCATTCCCTCAAAAAATCTCTGTGCTGGCACTGAGTTGGCATTCTGTTGGTTCATTAATTACTTACTGGCAGTCCCGTTGAGCCTGGATGACCCGGTCTGCCTGGCGTTCCTGGTTGGCCGTCTCTTCCTGGGTATCCCTGGAAACCAAATACATGCCACATGTCACTGAGTTGCTCACAGGAACGGAAATCTAAATGTATTGCCTCTCGATCCTTGAATGACGACCTAATTCCATCAATCCCTTAAGACAGGGGCTTCCCAAACACTGAGCAATGCATTTGGATAAGTTCAGTACTCACCGGATCTCCTTTCTCGCCCTTTGACCCTCTGCTCCCTCCGTTTATGGTCCCTGGGATCCCTGGTGGTCCGATTGGACCCACTGGGCCTTGAGGGCCTGGCAGTCCAGGAGAACCCTGCAACAAACAGAAGCCTTCGTTAACTATTTCAGTACATTCATCCTGCTCAGATTAACCACAGCATCTTATGCTCAGGGCACATATATTGTTCATTTTCCATTTTATAATGCAATAGTGTCTAATTCTTAATAATCCCACACCATTGTTTCACCTTTTATGGCACAGGTGAGAGAAAGCACAGAAATAGAAAATAAACTATTCATGAGGAAAAGATGAAAAGTAAAGGAGTGAAAGCAGAGCAGCAAACGTTGATTCATGTTTTGCAATCATGCCTAATTTTGTCCAAGAATTTCTACTTTCATTCATATGGTGAATACAACACTTACATTTCTTCCTGGTTCCCCTTTCTCACTCTGAAATAAAACACCATACTTTCATTACTGTGCGAAATCAAAACCAACTGATTCAATTACAGGCTTATACATCTTTGGGCTTCTCTGTTTTACAGGAAGAGGCCAGGCTGTAGTACCAGATGGATTGCTCTGGAAGAGAGAGACAGCATGGCCATGATGGGCCCAATAGCCTCTTTCACTGATACAGCATTCGATGCGATTGTGAGCTTATTAGAACTTAGCAGCTAGGAAGGGTCGTGAGAAAGGAAGAGGAAGGCTTATGCAAGACTTACCTGAGGGCACTGGGTAACACAATGGCCTGGTGTTGGCATCTGCAATGATCAAAAATAGAGCTTCATTTGCATTGAGGCACTTTCAGTTTGATGAGTAAAAACTCATGGTGTTGACTACAATGGTAACAATTTACATTAACACAGCAAATGGGCACCTCAGAGGGGTATTATCAGAAAACGGCTGACATGGGTAAATGGTTAGCACTGCTGCCTTACAGCGCCAGGGAGCTGAGCTCGGTTCCCTTGGGTGACTGTGTAGAGTTTTGCACATTGTCTACATCGGTTTCCTGCAGATGATCCGGTTTCATCCCACAGTCCAAAGACGTGCAGGTTAGAGTGGACTAGCCGTGCTAAGTTGCCCATGGTTGAGCAGGTTGGGTGGATTAGCCATGACAAATACAGGGTTACAGGGATTGGGCAGGGGGAGGGATGGTGGGTTTGGGTGGGTTACTCTTCGGAGGATCAGTGTGCACTTGATGGGCCAAATGGCTTGCTTCCACACTGTAGGAATTTTATGATTAAGCCAGGTCCGGGAAGGATTTAGGGAGCGTCATAAAGCAGGAGCAAGCAAAGAGAGTTTAAGGAAGGAATTCCAGACCTAAAAATCCAGGCAGCTGAAAGTATGGCCTTCATTAACACAGCCATTTGAGTTGGGGATTTGCAAAGGAATTTTAGGCAAAGGACAAGCAAAGGGACAATGATCAAGGGAGCGCAGTTAATGGACAGAATGGCTCTCACCTAAAAATAAAACAAAGAATTGCCGATGCTAGAGATCTGAAACAAACAAGAATGGAAATTGCTGGAGAAACTCAACAGATCTGACAGCATCTGTGGAGGGAAAAGGGATCATCAGTTCTGATGAAGGGTCAATGGACTCGAAACGTTAACTCTGTTTTCTCTCTCTACAGATGCTGCCACACCTGCTGATTGTCTCCAGCATTTCTGGCTCCGGTTGGCTCTCACTCACCACTGGTCTGCTAGCAGCTGCACAGATTACGTTGGCCAGAGCCCCTTCAAACTGAGTGAGTGAGTTGAAGTTCTCTGCATACACAATGTTGTTGGGGTCTCTGCCGGTAACGATTCTCTGCAGTTCGTTAATATCCGCGTCACCGATACCAACAGCAAACAGATGGATGCCTAGCATCAATACAAAGGTTATTCAGATCGTTAGAGATAGTAGGAGCTGCTGATGCTGGAGTCTGCAACAACAAGGTGTAGAGCTGGATGAACACAGCAGGCCAGGCACCATCAGAGGAGCAGGAAAGCTGACGTTTCGGGTCTGGACCCTTCTTCAGAAAAATCTGAAGAAATCCTTTTTCTGAAAAAGGGTCCAGACCTGAAACG